TCCTGCAGTGTGAACGTAGCCAATCTGTGGGATTGTTCAGTCAGATAATACGCCGTCATCCTGATTGGTGACATTAAATGTCATGTCGGAGTCACAATCCAAGGCTGTCGCTATGTTAAGGCTGTTTTTATGGGTTCTGTTGGTTTTTCCTACAAACCTGTCAGATAGCAGGTTCTGGATTGTTAAGGGTCGATTATGGAGTCATGACTGTATAACTTAGGCTGATATTCTTGCTGCTGAGTCCATCTACAGCGTTTTCCAAACTCCTCCTCCTGTCTGCTGCTTCTGCTGCAGGTAAAGAACGAGGACGTCACACGACTCCACCTCGAAGAACCCAAACTGTCCTGTTACAGCGTGTACAGGCGCCTTCGCCACCAGAACGCATTTCATGCTAACCCGCCTGGAGAAACGGGACAAACTGGTGGATGAGCGGGAGTTAAACTTCCAAACCACCCAAAGTCCATGTGAGGAGTGAAAAAGTTACCAGAACACACTGAGGTTGAGCAGAACCGAACCCTGTGGATCTGATGCAACAGCTCCGCCTTCAGTTGTGTAGAAACTACCTTTAGTTCATACTGAGGACACAGTGGTGACCCGGGACTGTTCCATCCCAGAACAGATCATGAACCTCAGTCCAGAGATGTTGCATTAGACTCCACAGGTTTCTTTTCTTCACTCCTGCAACAGTTTTGGTGTTTTTCTACCGACAGCGACTCGTCTCTGGAGCTCAGCCTGCAGCTTGGCGTCAGCATGAGGTAGAGGAATCATCGAAACCTAAAGAGAAGCAGATCAAACAAGGTAACAGTCAAAGTGTTCAGGTGTGAAGAGTCTCCACGGCGTCCGGACCTCCTCGGTTCTCTCAGTAACGTTATTTTAACCTTTGGACTCGGTAAAGATGACGGCATCGACTCAAACCGCCGGAAACTCGACCTGGAAGTTTCCCGTTTGAGGCTTTTGAAGCGTCTAACAGTCATCAGAACGTTTCACCCAAAGCTCCGGCTTCACCTGAACCCGGCCGACAGCGCCGCAGGCCGAGAAGAAGACTGAATCATGCGTTTTAAGGCCTTCAGGCGTGATGAGGTCCGGTCGCTACGACAACACGCCGCCGTCTCCGTCAGTCCTGGGAGCGATGATGCTCTCCTTCGCCTGCAGGAGTCGCTCCAGACACGGCGAGCTGATCTTGAACGGCGGCGGTCCGCGGCGCAGGCGAGGGCCGGCGGCCGGGCGGCGAGGCGGTGGCGGCGGCTCGGTGGTCCAGTCGGTGCTGGAGGAGATGGCGTCGTCCTGGGTCGGCTCCACACGGGAGGCGGCGGGTCGGACCGGCGGCGCTTCAGGAGTCTTCAGGGAGCAGATGGGTGACGTGTGAAGCCACTTGAGGTTGGTGGACGAGTTGGAGGCCGAGTGGAGGTCAGACGGAGGAGGAGAGGCGCCGCCATGACGCTGCCGAGAGAAACACCAGGATCAGAATAAAACACACAGTTTATACACCGTTAGCTTAGCACAGCTGGAAGAGGCACTTCACACACGACATCAACAAGACATGAAGCATCAGCCATGTGGACGAATGAATGAAACCAGTTTACATGATGTGATTAACTGGAAGTTTTTCGCTGTTGATCAGACTTAATGATACGAAGCCAAAGCAGCCTCTTGACGTGAAACATGACAACAGACTTTGACTCTGAGGCCTGAAGCTCATAAAAGCTGCTTTCATCCCTGAACAAGAACCCGATGGTCACATGACGACACCTTCAGCAGGTAACAGTCAGCGACAAACACCAGCCGTCCTATAATCAGGTCAGACAAACGAACGAAGCTGCAGCTTTAGATTTAAATAAAACGCTGTTTCTCCATGAAGACGCCTTCAGGGCTGCAACTCAACACTGTTTTAGTTTTTCTGGACGAATCGATCAGTTTTCATGAAGAAACGTTTGAAATCTTTTGTCACGGAGTCACGACTCTTAAAGAAGTTCTGAATCAACAACATCATGTTCAGGTCTCGGTTACCGTAATGTCTGGACTAGAAGCTCCTACTTCTTTCACACGCTGCAGCTTAAACAACGATGCGGCTAATTTATGGATTAATGCGAATTCACCTCGAGACCAAAGTGGTCTAAAGCCTCTACGGTACGTATCTGTGGATGTTACCGCTACGCATTTAATGAAAGTTAAAACATCTTTCTGTGTAAATATCTCATGTTCCAACGTGGACACCTGCAGCTTAGAGACACCTGCAGCCTGGATATGAACACACCTGGTTTCCTGTTTAGAGTCAGTGGGCGGAGCTTATATTCAGGTGCCTCTACAGTTTATATATAGTTGAATAAAAGCACCTTATGAGGCCCAAAAGCTTTAAAATGTCTTTTCATGTCGGACCAACAGGCTGAGTATAACAAACCGTCTTCATCTCTTCACTCCAGACTTCACTGACTTCCTGCTTCATCGTCCCTTTTCCTCTAAATACGACAGTTATTTACGATATTATCGTCATGCTGCACTGAAGGAGGCTCTAAACTAGAGTCTGGGACCATAAACCATCAGGACGATGTTTCCTGAGCTGATAAATCCAGTTAGAAAGTCTCCTTGTTTCCTCTCTGACCTCCATCAGGCAGCAGAGGCATCGCCCCCTGCTGGCTGTTAGACACAACGCAGCTTTAAGGCTGAAGAACTTCTGCAGTTTACTGTCATCAGATATCTGACGTGAGGAGGCTCTAAACCTCCAGGACATGATGGTACCTTCAGTTTCTTGGCTGCAGAGCCGTCGTCCGTCTGGTTGGGTTTGATCTGAGGAAACCAGCTGTGCAGCATTTCTTCAATCTTCAGGACGATGCCGAGGAAACGACCGCTGGAGGGAAACACAGACGACAAACTGGTGAAATCAGATGGTTCTGCTGGTTCTGCTGGTTCTGCAGGAAAAGTCCAGCTGTCAGAGAAATGAGCTCCAAGGATCAGTGAAGATGTTGTGAATCCTGAAGAAGTGAAGCGAGAGTTCAAACTTTCACTGTTTGATTAGTTTTTAACCGTGTTGGTAAAACGTCGGGTTTCATAAAGTTTTGTTTTTAGCGCCGCCTTCAAAAAATAAAATAAAATCTGTAAAAAAAAAAAAAAGACAGAAATAATAGAAAACAACCATGAACATGTAAATTAAAACTTGTTCCTGTGATGATCTGTAACAGGACAAATCTGTAAATAACAACTAGAAAATGATTTTAATAATCAGTGAACATAAACGTTCATCTGTAGAATATTGATCAGCGCTGATTTAAACAGTAAAACTGTGTCGTCTTATTTTCCAGATGTTGTCAAAGAGTTAATTATCTGTATAAATAAAGGTTTTTGACATTATTCAGCTTCAGCCTGTTTGTTTTGTTTTACTGGATGTTTTCTAACAAACCTGTAAATAACCCACAAACACCTTTAAACCGGTTTTCTTTCAGATAAACTCAAATCACACTTTCAGCTCATTTAAAGACAGTAAACATCTGTATGAACTCCAGCTTTAGACCCTGATGTGGATCCGTCCACATGTGGATCATGTTTCAGTAACGTGCTGAGTTCTGGATGGGAGCCGTCTGGACCTTCATGTCCACTCTGGATCTGCTCCTCCATGAATGAATGATGTAAACGTCCATGTGAGTCCCGCTCAGCGCTCCACATGAACTCATCTGGTTCTCCTACTTTCTGCAGCCGGGTCCGGGTCCGTGGCTCTGGCTCGTCTGGCCCTTACATAATCCTGCGCCGCCGCTGATTGGTGGACGACAGGAAGCGGCACAAAGGCTGAATAAATAAAGGCTGATCTGCATTCCTCTGGTCCCGCTGATGCTATCTGAGGAGGTCACATGACCAGCCGGCACGCCGGCCGCCGCATGAGGAATGTGACCTCACACGTGGCTCCATTCACGGCTATAAATAGACCCTAAGCCTGCAGCTAAGCCCCGCCCACCGCTGGCAGCAGGGAGGTGAACATGAGCGACTTCAACGCCTCACAAACGCTGGTCGTCTCCAGGAAGCAGTTAACCCTCTGAGCGCTGGTTCAGTCCGACTCAGTGTTTCACCTCAACATGAAGTCCTGAAGCTCAGTGGAACCAGAACATGGAGGAGGAGGAGACAGAACTCAGAGATGTTCTGTCAGCAGAACCATGGAGACCAGAGAGAAGACATACAGACACGTTACAAGCTGTGATCCATATAGATATCATCTCCTCATAGTGAAGATGTTGAACCATCTCCACGTCTCCAGACTTCTCCTGTCTGCTCATCAGATGGAGGAAGATGTTCCTCCAGGCTGGATGTATCTCCACCAACCGGCTCCTCTGGTCTCTGGTTCTGTTTTGTGTCTCTTTGGGTCATTTTGTGTGTTTTTGGTTGTTTTGCTCTTTTTTCTGAAGATGAATGTGTTCATAAAGTTCTTGTATATTAATGAGGAACTGATCATTTTACTGGTTGGATTTACTTCAGTTCAGTTTTACAGTAATTTAGTTTTTGTTGATGTTGAAACGCTGCCTCTGAAGTTTTCAGCGTCAGAAGCTCCTGAATCAGACTTCAGGAGATAAAGTTTCCATCTTCTGCCTGCAGACGTTCAACTCTGTGAACATGTAACCTGTGAATCACTGAAACTGTCTTTAAATGAGCTGCAGCTGTAGAGACTCCACCCGCCTGAATCAAACGCACCCCGGGTCAGAACGAGTCGAGAAAAAAGAACTCCGTCTTGAACCGAGCGGCGTGTGATCAGCTGGTTGAAGCTCAACGTCTCCGTCTTTCTGCTCCATCACTTCAGATTTCTGTTTTTCTTTGGAGTCTTTTCAAACTTTTCCTTTTGTTTCCATTTTTGTAATTTTGGGGGATTTTTTAAAATGTTTTAATATTTTTAAGATGTTTTATTTTTCTTTTTAACAATAAAATATTTTTGGAGATTTTAAAAACTAC